AATTAGGATTAGAGATTATTTTGAAATCAATTTTTTAGCAAAGACATCATACCAAATGATGTTAATTTTTGGTATATTTTATTACACCAATATTGTGTACATGAAGTAGGAAAATAAGAATTCTCTCCTAGTGAAATACCTTAGCTGTGCTATCTAATAAAAAAACAGGGTGCTTTGCTTTTGTCAAATTTTGGACCAACAAGCAAAGCCACAAAGCTGCACTAAAATCCTTTCTAAGAAATGTGAGACAGACTTTCACTTTTAAATCAATGCAAGCATGCAAACCATAGGAATGCATTATGACAAGGTGATCAATGCAGAAAAGAAAGAAATTCTAAAGTCTTCAATGTCTTTGTTAGAATCTTATTTATAAAATTGTGTTATTCATCAATCTAATAATTATTTATCACATTTCCTGTCAACATGATTGCTGCATGCATCAGAAGAAAGAGCTAAATACAGTGAAGAGATCGTTTGCAAGCCAATTATGGTTTCATGGTTCTGATGCTTTGCTTGACATTAAAATACTATTTGATGGTTTGTGTTTAAGCTGTCTTTGCCCGATAAGCAGAGTATTGTATTAGTTAAGGAAGCTTTACCTATTGGAGAAAGATACAGGGTAAATAAGGAAGACACTAAACAAGCTTTGAGATATTCCCATGATATGAGTCTCATGTTATATTATCTAGAAGTTATAAATGTTGTCTTTATTGATTCTAAGCCAATCCTCAAGAATTTTTCATAATTATTAGCTCTCACATACGTTGATGATAGAATCAACCCAGTTTCTCAAGCTGTCGCTACTCGCTAACAATCTCAAGGCAGTATTTTGTCAATGATGAGCATTTAAAGTCAAATTCTGTTGTATTTTTTCTGCCAGTGTTCCAGTTGTCTGACATAATCAGACTCCAATACACTACTTCATTCCTTATGCTCTGATGTCGGAATCAACTCAAATGTTCTACACAGCATAAGGACATCATTGTATTTCAAAAAATGTAACAAAAATTTGAGGTAACTTTGGAGTCATTTTTTTAAATAGCCAAGCTATAGCCTTCAATATTCTTCAAAATTTTGGTATTTTTTTAAAAGGGCCATGACTTAATAATTGGAGTCTTAATTAGCTCAACTTTCTACATAGCATAAGGACATCAATGTGTATCAGAAAATGTGATAACAATTTGGGGTGATTTCAAAGTCATATTTTGGAGAAAATCCCCAGGCTACATGTAACCTAACAGCACTATCTATAGTAGTTAATAAACTTAGTGCTTGTGTTATGAGTTGTTTTTAAAGGGGTGAGCCTTAAGCAAGCAATGATTCCCTCTCCAACAACCTTTATCTCTTTACCAGGATATATAACATCAGTTATTATTACTGTAATGAGTCTATTGTCCAGTGAAGATATGTACATGTACATTGCACTGCATCAGTCCATGTATGATGTAGTAATTGTGTTCTGTTACTGTGTTACATTCCTGTATTGCCAAATTTCAAAATTCTTGAAAAAAATACTATATCACTGGTAAGCATGTACATATGGCAAATTTTATTTTGGTAGCTAAAAAAGCATGCACAATATGCTTGCATATGCAATGGTAAGATGACGTTGTAATACGTTGGCTCAACTTTGCTGGAGAAAATGGCGTGGCTGCTAGGATCAAAATGGTGGCGTTGGGAGGGTGAAAGTTTTAAACTTGTTGCAGTTCCTCCCGTTCAGCAGTAGCCTTGACCCGGGGTACTGGCAGGAGTTAGGGAAGAGGAAACTCGAAGATTATCAGCTAAGAGAGGACCCGGTCCCTATCAGGGGCAGCTATGGGAACTATTACCGAGTATTACAGGAACATTAGCACTCCTTTCCTATCCCTGGATTATACTGCTTTTGATGTGGGATACCAGCCTATTGGGCTAGACTTACCTTCTCCTGGTCTCCTACGAAACATGCGCCTCCTTCAACAACATTGACAAGAAGGAGTTACTTGATACCTGTGGTCGTCTCATTTTGGAGAGTATTAAAAATGGTGATTGCCTCAAAAACCCGTCCCTCCTGACGTCATTCCTGTTACTCACATACGCCAACTTAAAGAAGTATTGTTTCAATTATTGGTTTGGATTCCCTACCCTCTCCCCCTCCAGTCCATTCACTTATAGATCTATTAGTCGTTTGGATACTCTTTTTAAAGACTCCGACCTCCAGCACTTGGTTTCTCGTTATGACGACTTTCAATTGGAACACAAAAGTGTTGGGTCCTTTCTAGTCGATTAAGAAGGTTCTAAATTAACTCCGAAACTTTTGACGTGTATTGAAAAGGTTTTTAAAGAAGGGTGCGATAGATTATCGATTGGTTTCTGTGACCCTAGTACTCTTGATTCTAACCCAGGCTGGCCTCTGAGGAATTTCTTGTACTTCATTTCACATACTTAATTGGGATAACGTTTTAAAGGAAGTAGACATTCTCTGTTACCATGACAACACGAGAGACGGGATGCATTTGATTGATAATCCCTCTCTCCCCCCCCTCTCTCTCTCTCTCTCCTTGTAGAAGACTTATATAGTTGGTTCTACTAATGATGGTCTCAGTTGTTGTATGCTAAAGATTGACAGAACACAATCAGGAGCTGCTGGACTAGTGGTTGAAGAAGATGAGAAAGAATATCAACAAAATGAGGTAGAGGAAGAGAGAGAAAAGGTTTATTGATAGTGTATGATTATCTGTTAAGGTTCAAGAGACCCTTACAATGTTAGAGAGTACCAATCAGAACTTCACCACTTGTTATAAAGGAGGACTACAGCAAGTGGCACCAGCTTTTGGGATTGTTGGTAATTAAGCATTTAACAAGCAGTATAATTAAATATATATATATACATACATACATATATATATATATATATATATATATATATATATATATATATATATATACACACACATGGGTGTACTTATTATTATGACCCTATTATAAATGGACTTGTACATATACATGTACGTGTATAACAAAATAGCAATTTTATATATTTATTTATTACTTAGTTTTATCCTCATTACTAAAAGTTCCCTTTTAATGAAACTATTATTATAATTTCATTATTTTAGGTTTTATCAGATTCCTTGAAAGCTATTACATTATTCTCATCACCAAACGAAAACCGTGAGTTATTATCATTACCATGGCAACAGGCTCCACCCCTCCTCCCCCACAGTGTTGCTAATATTGGTGGTCATATATTGTATAAAATTGAAGACACTGCCATGCACTGTCTGTCAGCTCCTACTGGTAGACCAGCTCATCCTGATGAATCAAAATACATTAAAATATTTCAAAATGTTGATCTATCGTCTAGTTTTTATTTCAGGTCAATAATATTTATAATAATTATTAATGATTTTTATTGTACATGTTTTGTCTTTGTTAGTACATTCAATTGGATTATTGTGTCTTTTTATGTTCACAATAATAATTATAATCATTACATTGATAACTGTGATAAATATCATACATGTATGAACCATATGAAAATCTCCCAGTGTTCTGTATTACATGTAGGTATTAATTTTTTGAGGAGTAAAATTTTGATGGATTGCTACATTTTTGATGATTTGTGGGACAATTTGTAACCATGTGCCATTGAGCATGCACATAATGGTTTAAAATAACATGCTTAATTAATTAAAAAAATATCTATCAAAATGCAAAAATCACTTTCTGAAAATTAATATTATTTATTATTATTATATTCCCCTCCAGTTATTCTTATGATGTAACTCATTCCCTTCAGTTCCAAATGAGGACTTCAGGGGGTCCTATGCCTCCGTCCTGTCTTAGGTTTATATGGAATGAGTACTTACTGGAGAACCTTGAGGGCTTCGTACACTCAAGATGGATACTCCATATAATATGTGGATTCATGTCACAAATCAGTGAGTAATGAATGACCATGTGCTTGAATTGGGGAACTTTAAAAATTAGTAAAAAATCCAAACTTGATTGGAATTAGCTCAAACTTCCTACACGACATAAGTTTATGTATATGTATCAGAAAATGTAATAAAAATGGAGAATTTTCTCCTTGAAATTTTTGGTGAAATTTGGCCTAAGACCCTGTACTATAGTACAGGGACTTTTGCCCGATTTTTGAGCAACTTTAAAAATTCATAAAAAATCTAAACTTGATCAAAATCAGCTCAAACTTTCTACACAACATAAGAACATCTATATGCATTAGGAAAT